CCTATATTAAGATATTTTCTCTTATCTTTTCTCAACCAAACAAAAGTTCTAACCTTTTCATCCTCCTTTATTACAATATCTTTTTATTTTTTCCTTCCCCTCCTTTGAATCAATTTTTTTTAATAAATTTATATTTTTATCTATTAAAATTACAATAACAATAACAAAGTTCAAATATAAGATTTATGCATATTACCTAAAAAATTTAATGAAAAATTTCATATAATTTTTTAATAAAAATTTTATATAATATATTAAACGAGATAATAAAGAATTCTTGATATTTTCATGTGATTAAAACATGTTTCCTTATATTCTAACCTCTCTTATGGTAATTATTTCCAAAAAAATTAAAATATTACTATTAAATAATTAACTAAATCTGAAAAATAAAAATTTCCATTTTCTTAAAAGCTACTACCTTTATATATATATATATATATATATATGACTCAATTATTCAATTTATTAAGATTAAGAAAATAGTTAATTTAATTTATAATAATAATTTTTTATTATATATATATATTTTTTTTTTTCTTTCTAAAATTACTTTTACACTACATCTCGTATTCATATAACTTCTAATCGATTAAAGTGCATATTGTATATTATTTCTCTCTACTATAGTATTCATATTTCTTTTTATTGATTAGAGTGCATATTTTTTTTTAAAATTTATTATTAATATATGTTACTAAATTAAAAAAAATACAGTTTAATTAGAGATATTTTAATTAAAAAAAGTAACATATGATATAATGTAAATTGAGTTTTATATTAAAAAAGAAATAATCGTTCCAATTTGCATCTAATAAATATAAATGAATGTTTTTTCTTTTTTAAAAAAAAACTACTAATTCTACTATAAAGTATAAACTAATCGGTGACTCTTACTCTCCGTTACTATGTAGGGATATTCGTAATTTTGCTTAAAATCAGCTCAACGCTTACATATATATATATATTATAACAACAAACTGTCTACAGATATTTTAATACTGTCAATCAATTAAAAATATATATTATAATTTAAGTTTTTAAAGTGAGCATTATAAAATTAATAAATTTATGGCAATAGATTCCATTTAAATTCTAATAAATAGGATAAGAATCAAAATAAATTGATGTGGAATATGTGAAACAGAAGGGCAACAGCACATAATCTATAGGTTCAATGTTTTCATTAATTTCTTCGATTTTCCACCTTTTTATAGCGAAAAACAGTGCAAGACAATAATAAATTTGACGAACAAAAAGACACTGTAGTAGTAATCCCGGGTGAAGCCACAGATTGAGATTTCCCTTCTTTGTCTCTTCCTGCACGTTATCAAATTTCATTTTACCTTTTTTTTCTCTCTTCACATATCTAATACTCTTCTCTTCAGATTCTGACAGTACTGTGGTGCCCATTTTTTTTTCTTTTCTATTTTTGTTTTTCTTTCTTTTACTTATCTTATTAATATTTGACATTTCCCATTCGGTTTTCCTCTTCTCTTCTCCTTCCCATGTTTTTTTCTTCCACCGACCGCCAGTTTTCGCTGACATCACTGACTTCAAGGTTTGCACTTTTATCTCCTCTTTAAATTATACTAACCCTTCAACTGTCTTTTCCTCTTTTATTCTTCCATGATCATGAAGAAGAGGCTTTTGGCTTTGGGCAAGTCAAGGTTCTTTCTTCTTCCCTCGGTTTCCTTCCCTCCAAGGGAGGAACCTCTTTAGATACCCTTTTTTCACACTCTTCCATTGCACCCATAAAACTTGGAATCCAGTCACAACAACAACCGCGACATGTTTTCGAGGGGCAGAAGGAGTGACATCAGTGGCCATGGCAACACAAACGTGGCTGAATTGGAATTAAGGCCAGGGGGAATGGTTGTGCAGAAACGTGACTCGGATGTCAATCAAAATTCTACATCGAAATCCACCATCAAAGTCAATGTAAAGTATGGCTCATCCTATCACCAAATTCAAATCAGCTCTCATGCAAGTTTTGGTACGTGCACATTCAGAATTTTCTCTCTTTTATTTTTTTTTTCATGAATTATTTTGATGAGTTTCTACTAATCAGAAATGGGCATGATTATTAACAAAGAAAAATCAACAGATTTACTGTATATATTAATTTGTGATCGGGTGAAAGTCTAACAAGGGCAGGCATGCACTATTTTCTCTAATTTATGCATATATTAATATGTGATTGTTAATTTGTGATGGCATGAAAGTGTAATCAGGACAAACATGTTCTATTTTCTCTAATTTGATTATGATCTGATGGATTATTGGCTTGTGGTGGTTCTTTGGGGGTGCAGGGGAACTGAAGAAAATGTTGACAGAACCAACGGGATTGCATGTTCAGGATCAGAAGTTGATTTTCAAGAAAAAAGAGAGAAACTCGAAGTCATATCTTGACGTTGCAAGAGTCAAAGATGGGTCAAAATTGGTGCTGCTTGTTGATTTTGAGAGTAGAGAACGAAGGATACTCGAGACATTAAAAATTGCTAAGAGGGAGAAGACTTCAAAATCTTTGGCAGAAATAAAGGTGGAAGTTGATAAACTCGCTGAGAAGGTACAATATTTTTTCAAACAATTCACAAACTTTCGTACTATTTTTACGACTAATTAATGGAGTTAATTCAATGAAATTGAATAGGTTGCAACTTTGGAGGCTGCTGCTTCCGAAGGTGGGGCTATAGTAGAGTTAGATATTGAAACTCTGACCGAAAATTTGATGAGAACATTGATTACATTGGATGAAATATTCGGAGAAGGTGAACTGAAATTGCAGAGAAGAGAACAGGTAACTGTTGATTTTAAAAACTGAAAATTATATGAATTTATGTTTATGTCATTAACGTTGTACGTTTTGGAAAAAAAAATGTGTGTAGGTCAGGAGAGTTCAGAAACACATTGAGACTTTAGATATGTTGATGGCAAAGGCAAAATCCGTTTCCCTAAAGAATGAAGTAAACATGGCACGTGAGAGCAAGGTGCATTCTGGCGATCACGTGCGAGGGAGGAGGGGAAATAGTGCAGCAGAGCGAAATCATAAGAAGCAGCAACCATTAAAACATTTTGACTCGGTTGTGATGACAACAAAATGGGAAACTTTTGATTAAGGCTTTTAGAATGACAACGAAAATGCTTCACACCGATTTAGAATGCATTCAGGGTGTTGTCTAGTTATGGGCTGCTTTTGCCTTATAAGAAATTATTTATTTTTCCTCATTACAAGGCTTTATAATTTACTATAATGTTTGGTTCACATTATTTTTGCTTTACATCTACTTGAACCCTTGATAAAGCGTTGAATCATTTCACAGGAGGAATGAGAAAGTTAAAAAGCTATTCAATGGTTAGGTGTAAAAAATTGACTTGAAAAACCAATAGGCTGGTTACTTTAGCAATGGGTGGTTCAGTTTAATTTTTTCGATTTCTATGGTATTATTTTTCTTTTATTTTTTTTCTCTCTTTATATTAGTTATCTTATTACATGTTTTCCCCCTTCTCTTACTATTTCTTTATTTGTACAATCATTTGTTTTCGTCTTGGGATGTTCATTTCTATCCAATTTGTACATGTATCAAAATGGCAAATGCTACTTGCATGAAAGGTTTTACGGAATGGTAGTGGGTTTCCAAAGTTTAGGGTTAGAACTCATAAAATTTCAAGTTGCAAATTTTCTTTGGAGACAGAAAAAAGTTATTCAGCTTCGTCTTGTGAGTGTTGATCTCTACCTCAGAATCGATTTTTCTCTGTCTGTCGGTGTGTTTTTGTGCTTAGCTGTGATGCGAGTATTTTCTTTTTTCCTTTTGATACAATTGTGTACGGACCATATAATTAATTATAGATTCATAGCCAAATAAACACATAGGGGTATGTATTAATATTGTGACCGTAATAACTCGACTTTTATATTAATTATATTTTTATTAATTATTAATTATTGTATTTTTTTAAATAAATATTTGGGTTAATTTTGATAATTATTTTATACTTACATGAATATATTATAAAATTTTATTATTAAATTATTTAATTATTTTGAGGGGAGGAATTTGTAAACTGGGTTAACTGTTATTAATTGTGGGGGTTAAGAGGGAGTTTAAGCACCTCCTTGGACTTGTTGAGCACCGTTGCGGCCAAGAGCAAAGATTGCTCTCGAGGTCGCTCACGCTAGGTGTGAGGTAATCCTTTTCGAGCATGGAAGCTGTAGAGACTTCATTGTGATGCTTCTGCCAGGCGTGAACTTAGTCATGCCGAGCACAGTTTCGACAGAGGGTAACATGGTTCTATGGAGGTCCCGTATTGGGCATAGAACATGGGTTGCCAGGCATGCTCTATGTTTGTGACTTTTCTTTGTGAATTCCTTGGACTCTTCTAATAATGAATTTATATTATGATAACAATGAATGTATGATGTGACATGATATGAAAATGTATCCTTCCATAAAATATTGTTTGAGATGCATCATTTGCATAAATGTTTTTGAAGGGTATGATATAGGATACACTGCCATGGAAGGCTTCCTTGTGTAATAACTTGGAGATCAGTTCTTGGGGATAACCAGATTTGTGAAACCTTGATTCAGCCCATTGTGTACTAAGTGTAGAGCTAGCAAGGCTTCTTTGTCTTGACTAGACCTTGGTTGTATATCCTCTTAGTGAGAGTACGTTGAGGGTGTGACTTGACATATATTCTAGGCTACTCTCTGTCTTGCTAGAGGCAATGCACCATGTGATTATTTTTGATTGAGGCCACATGCATGATTAATTTAGTCTATGTCCATTAAATAGTGCACATGAATGAACTATTATATTAGCTTATTATATTTTGGGCAATTGTAGTATGTTTATAGTATTGTTATGTTTATATCTTGTATCTTGTTTGTATTTAGCTATCTGACTGCATCTTACGCCGTGAATCTGTATGATATGAGCCAGAGTGAGGTATTTTTCACTCCCCTTATTTTGTGTTATTCTTCTTTTATTTTGTTGCATGTAATTTTCAACATGATGTTGAAAATGTTGATGATGAGGCTCAGTCCACATGAACGAATTATGCTTTAATAGGATGTGACATCTGGGTTTAATTAGAAATTTTCTTTCTATTGTTATGTTTTAAGACAATTGTCCGTTTTCATTAAAATTTCATTTCGATTTCAATTTTCTTTTGTTTAAATTAAAATGTGATACATTCTATGTTGAATATTGAAGTTTTATTTATGATAAAGTTTTCTATTCATTTTTATTTATTTTTGTATTATGATATACATGGTAAAGAGTGTCAATAGTGACATAAATGATCTTTCTTACTAGCTTGAAAATATTTCATTTGATTTGAAAAAGGCTATTTATTCTTTATCGCATCACTCATATCTATCTCTCTCTCTCTCTCGTTCTCTTTTCTATGATCCACTCTTTCTTAATTATGAAAATATTGCACAAATTTTCACGTAAATAAGATTTCTCAACTGATTCTTTGTTTAATTTTTAAGTTTCGGTGTGTGCACATGTAAACTTTTTCTCTTAGTAATATTTTTTATGTGAAACAAAGAAATAAGTACAAATGATTTAATATCTTAAAATGTGAAGTGTGTGTAATATTTTCTTTAATTAATGACTAAAATTATAGAAAACATATTGACGAGATTTCTGAAGTTAAAATGGCATGATGGTAAAAATATAAAATGCTTGATAATTTTTTTAATTAAATTGTTAAGTATTTTATAATAAAGCATTTTCAATGTAGCAGAGCACCTCAAATTTACACATAGCACCTCACCCATCTTAGCATTATCCCGCAAGAATTGACAGTATCTCTTGCCTTTTCAAGCTTGTTTTGTAAACAAGTTTTCTATCAGTCTCTTTGGGAGAGTGTTCTCTTAAGCTACGATTGGGAAATTGAGGGATGACAAATAAATTACATACTTTTACAATCAATAATCAAAGTTCTTATCCTCTGTTGTAAGAAAATGGACCAAACTACAATGCCTTGAAACAATTTGATTGTGCTTGTTATCCATGTCTTAGGCCATATAACATTCAGCTACAATATCACCAAAAAAGTGCATGTTTATCAAATATAGTGGTTCACATAAGGGATACAAGTGCCTAAAATCATGGAAGAAATTTTACATCGAGACATGTGATTTTCAATGAGAGTTGTTTTCAATTTTGTGATGTTTTCTCAGCATAATGAAAAATGTAGAAACTTTGACTGAATTAGTTGCAATTTTCTTTCCATTGAATCTAACATGTGATTTCACCACTGGTGAATAATATGAGATCATTTTAGAAGAAAGTAGCAACAACTCACAATAAAACAATTACAACAACCACCTTCAATCAACTTACACATCACGTGTCAACTCAAATTATGCTAGGAACCAAATTACGGAGAATGAACTAGCAATTTCAACCACTAGAGCAATGATTGAAGACAACACAAGGTATTAATGCTGATAGTGACAAAAATTAACAAATAGATGCAAGTTGTACTTCAATGCAACTAACCAATACATGAAATGTGCACAAGGAGAAAATAAGGAATTTACAAGCCTAAGGTTCCCTATTCAGAGCAAAAGAGAAGCACTTGAGAGAGAAAGAACTAGACATATTTGATGAAGTAGTCCAAATGCGTAAATGGAAAGGAGCAATAGAGAGTGAGTCCAATGCCTTAATTTCTAATAGAACTTGGTCACAAGCTCCCTTTTAGGGTCAATAACATGTTATTAAATCTAAGTGGGTATTCAAGAAAAAATACAAGGTCAATGGCACAAAGGAAAAAGGAAGGCCAAAGTAGTTGCCAAGAGATTCCAACAAATTGCTAGACTAGATTATGATGAAATTTTGTTGAAGACAGGACATGAAAATGGAGGTGTATAACTAATCACAAAAATTACAGATTAAAATAAGAAAATCTACAACATCACACATACAAAAGGGGGGCAAAAACTAATATGATATATTTGAGTTATGAACTTAGTTTTTGCACTCTTGAAAGTGCTTCTAACAAGTTCTTAAATACTAAAACTAACTAACGCCTAATTGGATAAAACAAACAACAAATTATGACTAAGCTAACAATTAAACATCATTTGCTTATGGTGGCTTTGGAGATTTGAGACTAATTTAATTCCTTGAAAATTGCAACATTATGAGTCATATGATTTGTGCATCTGCTATATATGAGTCATGCCTCGCAAATAAAATTTCCTCATGTTGTTCTTCATGTTCTACATTTTGGACTTGATGTTCTTATGGGTTTGCTTTATTTTTACAAGCCTTCTCCACATGACAAAATTGATTATAGGCCCTACATTTAATGCTTGGTCTAAACCAACAAATTGTTTTAATATGGTTGTTGTTCTTACAGTGATGACATAATGGAAACTTATTTTTCCAACCTTTTGCTTGGTTGTTTTCTTCCTGTATTTTGCCCTTTGTGTATACCACAAAATCACCTTCAATATTTTCTTCCATCCTTAAAGATATTCTTTGTTTAGTGGCTTGCAAAACATTCACAAGCTCTACAATTGATATTTGAGAAAAATCTTTATTTTCTTTAAGAGATAATATTTTAGATCCAAACCTCTCCGGGAGACGCACCAAGGTTTTCTCCATAACTCTTTGATCATTAAGTTTTTCACTAAGTAATCTGATTTGGGTAACAACCTTCAAAATTCTGTCAATAAAATCTTTAATAGGATCAATTTCTTTCATCCTTATCACTTCAAACTATCTCTTTAAGTTTAGCACCTATATTCTTTTTGTTTTTTCACTCCCTTAAAACTTCTCTTGTAGCTTAACCCATGTCTCTTTTGTAGTTTCAAGAGTTAGAATCTTCATAAATACATCATGTAGTGTTGCTTGTATAATGACAAGAGCTCTTCCTTCTTTAGCCACTTTATTATTGTGTCTCCTTATTTGAGCTACTATTGAGTTTTTTGATAATAAAGGTGGATTACTTCTATTTTCCATTGTAACTCACAAACTTTGAGCTCTAAGATAAGTCCTCATTTTCACAACTCACAAGTGATAGTTTTTACTTATAAATATTGAAGCTAGGGGTAAAAAAATTACTACCAGAAGTCATTTTTATGTTTGAAGGTTTTTTATATGGAACTTTTCTGTGGTTTCTTTTTTTTTTTTTTTTTTCTCACACAGGTCTTTAAAGATCAATAAAGCTCTAGATATCATGTTGAAAACAACATGAAAATAGAGGT